CTTTATTTGAAATGACTTAATTTTTAAGTGTTTTTTCTTAAATATTTAGAAGTTTGGTTGATAAACAATTTTCTAGACGTAACCTATCACTTAGGTTTTTTATTTGTTTGATTTAACTATTATTAGTTGTTTCATTTTAATGGAATGAATAAAAGTATTTATATTATAAATAAAGAAATTATCAATTTTCAAAAAAAAAAAAAAGTAAACCAAACTAAACTTTGATTTTTTTTTTTGATATTAATCCCTCGATATTTGAAAGTCCAAAATTAAGCAACATTAGAGCTCACGAGGGTAAAACTTTTATAACGTTTATTTCTCTATTCATAAAATTTTATTAAAAAAAATTAAATTTCTTTCACTAAAATATACTTATCGTTGATACTAAACCTTAATTAATAAAGTCTCTCTCTTCCTATTGTCTCTATTAATAGAAAAGAAAAAGTTGCATAGTTAGATAAATAAAAATGGAATGAGTGGATATTTTCTCACAATGAAAAAATAACCCTCAAATTGTGTTTTTTTTTTAGGATATATTAACTTACTGAAATTTTCATATGGAGGGGAACAAGAAAGAGAAATAAAAATTTAAATCCTAACACAATTAAAAAAAACTATTTTTATACTAATAATTCAGTAAATTATTTTACAGGACTCTCTCTCCAAATCATTTTGTCAGTGGAGGGAAATGGATATAATAAGGTGATATGGTAATTCCATTGCCCATTTTCAAAAAAAGAAAAAGAAAAAGGTGATATGGTAATTATAAATAAAAAGTACAACATGGGATGCATTACTTACCTTGGTACCCGGCCTTTAGTAGGACCCGGATTGATGCCCCGACGAGGTAACCGTGCCCACTGGACGCTGGAAAAGTCTTTATTTTTATTTTCCAACGAATTGATAAAGACACCTGACCGTGAGATAACTGGAAACACAACAAATGAAATGTAGGTTTGACAAAACGTGTCAAAGTCTCAGCCTTCATTATTCACCATTATCCAATCAGAATCAGCTGTTACAAAAAGATACATTGCCCACAAAGGACGCAATTCCCGTCTACTTTTTTCGTTTACCTTTCTTGTTCATTATATTTATCCTCTTTTTTTTT